GGAGCCGGCTTCCCCTCAGCTCCGGGCTCGGCCTTCCCGCCGGCAGCGAAGCCCATCGCCCCGGGGCCTGCGCTTCTCTCTCCTGTCCTTACCGGCTTTCGTCCGCCACCATGTCGGTCAATCCCATGGCCTACGAAGCGCAGTTCTTCGGGTTCACCCCCCAGACGTGCATGCTGCGCGTCTACATCGCCTTCCAGGACTACCTCTTCGAAGTGATGCTGGTGGTCGAGAGTGTAATCCTGAAGAAGCTGGATGGGTTTCCCGGCTGTAAGATCCGTCCCTTCCAAATCCGGAAAAGCACGGAGAAATTTCTTCTCTTCATGAAGGAGCACTTCGATAAACTCTTCAGTAAGATGGAAGAAGTGCTTCTGCAGCTGGTGTTAAACATCCCTAAGAACGTGGTCCTTCCCGAGGACAAGGTCCACGAGCAGTACCCCTACACCAAAGAGCAGTTCCAGGCGCTTCAGGATGAGATCCGGCAGCTGCAGCAGCAGTACAGGGCTGAGGCGTCCGCTGGGCAGGCGCTGCGAGCAGAACTGGAGGAACAGAAGGCTGTTCGGGCTGAGCTTGAGAAGATTTTGCAATGGTTTGATGGGCTTGACAATATATGTAGGGAACACGGGACCAGCAACTTCAAAGAAAGCTTTGCATTCCTGACACAGAACTCTAAGAAACTGCAAGGTGTGCTGAAAGATGTTGAAGAGAAAAGCAAAAAAATAAAGAAGCACGATCAGTTGTTGTAATGGAAATGCAACAAAATGTAATGTAATGGAAAAGCAACAAAAATCATTTAGACAGCTTGCTTGAAATGACAGGGGCTTATCTTTCCAGAAGCACCTCCCCTAATCCCTTACTCCTCCAGTCCTGCCGGGATCTCAACTAAAAGCTGTTGGACTGTGTCAGTTTGCACCTATTTAGCAGCTCCCTAGGGAAGCAGGGAGATGAAACAGCCTTGTTTTTCTCTGAAATGTAACTCTGAAAGTTGTGATTGGGAATAAGTTTTGGGTTGGATAACCTGGCTGTGAACATATCTTCCTGGCCTTACGAACATTAACTTTGAACATGGCATAGCATTTGTTTATTTTGGTTATATAAAAAAAAAAAAATCAGTTTCCAGACTGATACCAGTTCAGAGTCAATGTTTTTGTCAGTGAGGATGTGGGGACTTCATACTCGTTTCCCAAAGGAGCGGATTTGCACCAGCAGTGTCTGGTTATGGCTGAGGTGCCCTTCACTGGGATTTAAAAGCCGACACCAGGAATTCCATAGAGAAGAGCAAGACAGTGATGCTGTTGTCAAGGTTCTGATGAGAAATAGATCTGTGTGCAGCAATGCTGAATTTCAACTCAATTTCTGAAGTTTCAGGGTTACTTACCACTCCGCAGACGTTTGCAAAGCAGCAGCTTGTGTTTCCTGTAGGCCAGGACAGTGTGCTGCTCCGTAGACGGAAGATCCAGAAGCCACTGGAGGGAACGACCAACTCGATCACTTTGACCTACTTCAGCTTATGTTGCTTTATATATATATTTTATTTTTGTTTTTATTTTTGTTGTCCAGTGTCCTTTTTCTACTAAATAGCAAAGTTCATTTTATTCATGTTTAATGAGGTTTTCCTGTAAAAATGTTGAGAAGACTGACTGATGTGCTTGACTTCTTTGAAATCACTTCATTAAGCTTATTCTATCTGCACTGCATTCACAGTACGTTACAGTCTGCGTGCATTTTTCTGTTGGCCTCAGGAGGTTTTGCATCTCCTGTACAGATGCATCCTGAAATATCAATACTAATTTCGACTTTACCAGCATAGATGTTTAAAAGACATTAAACTTGTGAATAATTTAGAAGTTGCTGCAATAATAAATAAATTAAAAAAAAATAAAAGCATAAAATCTACTTTGCAGTTCTTTCGTCCCTGACTTCTGAAGGCTTCATACAGAATCAGCTCGGTGAGAGCAGCATCTTTAACCATACGTTGCCTCGGCAACAGGGAATAGGGTAAAAATTAACTTGCGTGCTTAGAAAACAACTTAGTGACTTAAAAGTTATCTAGTGTTCTCTAACTTGAAGTTTGAAGAGTAGAAAAACTTGATTAACCCAATGTCCACTGTAGATCTTATCAAAAAAGTGTCTTCATTTTATACCATTACCATCAGTTCCATTGCAGAAATCAAGCAGCCACTGGTCTGTAAACTGAGTGCACATATGTAGATATTGTTTCATTTAATGCTAAGTTGTAAAGAATAGCACTTGAAAAATTTACTAAGAAACAAAAGTGGTAAATTGAACCCAAAGAGCCCACAGGAGAATTACAAGTAAGAGTTTGACAAAGGGGGATGAAACAAACCCGTACGCACAGTTCAGTGTAACATCTGTCCAAATCTCCTACTGTCACGACATATTCATCGAAGTCCTCCAAGTTATTGGTATCTTGTATTAGAAATAAAGAGGAGGAGAAGGAGGTGTGAAAGACGGTACTGATGAAACCTGTCACGTTGCGTCTGCGACGCCGAGCACAGGTATCGCCGCGCAGCGGGGGAATGTCCCGCTGTGGGGGGCTGCACGTGCGTCCACGCAGCGGTTCTGCATGCGCCCAGTGCGGGGCTGCGTGGCCGTGGGACGCTTGGGTACGTTGGCACTGGTGGGTTAAAGGGTGACCTGACTGCTCTTGTTGAATTACATCTTTTAAGGTATTTATTCCTGAAAAAAAGGGGTTGGGTTTTTTTTTTCGGTGAATGAATGAATCATTACTATGAACGCGTAAGAGCCGTTTACAGCTAATCGAGAGTCTCAACAGGAGATGTGCTACACTGAGCTCTTTATTTAGGCTTCTCTTCAGCCACGATTAAATGCTGGTGAGCTGATGACAAAACCATTTAGTTGAAATAAATGCCATACGGAGAAGAGCAGATCTGTGAAGGAAAAAAGGGAATTTTGCCATGACCCCTCTGAAGAGACTGGCTCCTTCAATTCAACCGCGATTAAAGTCCTGTAACCTAATTTCTGCTCTTCATTTTTGTTCATAAAATCAATTTAAAAAATAAAAGTCTTTAACTGTGGAGGGGGTGTGTGTGTGGGTGGGATACACAGAGAAGGGTTTTGCTACACACAATCCTTCCCAAAGAGTAATAAAAACCCTCACCGGGAGATCCGGCGTCTTTCAGTAACACGTGGGAGCAGTGCACTGAAGAACAATTATTCTGTGAGAGGCAATAATGCTACTTTTTTTTAAAGACTTACCTGTGAAATGCCAATAAGCATTAGAAGTCCTTTTTAATAACATTTTCAATAAAACAGTGAATGAAACATCTATCTATAGAAGTTTTAGCGGAGAGGGGGGTGACACCCACGGGACGTCACCTTGCCTAATGCCAATGTTATGGCATGAAACTGAAAATACTCTCACAGTGCAAAATGAGCACCGACGAAGCAAAACCCTGAAGTGAGCCCAGGGCAGGAGCCCCCCTGCGGTCCCCCAAACCCTGCGGTGCCACCGCAGCCGCGCTCTGCCGTGACCGGGGGCCACCGGCGGCAGAGGGCACCAGGAGACCGGCCCAAGGCTCCGCTGGCGGGAGAGGCTGTTTTGTGGCTGATTTGTTTTTCCCCCTCTCCTGGTACCTTCCCTGTGCACCACAAACCACCAAGTGTCTCCTCAGATCCATCAGTTGTTTTACCCTAAATGAGCAGGAGACGCTTTGGGTGTTCGGAGCCACGAGAGACCGCGCGCCTCTCTGCAGAAAGCCGCGTCGGGACGTACCCAGTTTGTACAGCCTCATGCGGTATTGAGGACTTACTTTTATTTTCACTCATTTGTCCCCAGACCTGCGCTTTCTCATCTGACCAGGCAGCTTGCACAGCGCCAAGGTCTTCCCCAGTACGGTTTTCATGCTCATGGCTGTCGGGGAGCGGCGGTACTGGGCATGATGGTTGCACTGGGATTCTGCTGGGCATTGCTTTAGCAGCGTCAGACAGCAATGCACGGAAATCCCAACACAAACCTCACGTAGCGATGGCAAAATCCCCTGTAACGTCACAGAGGGAAATCTCTCAAATAAGTAACTCTGCTGTCAAACTTGCAGCCCTCCGGCAAGATGACAGCTACCAGCGAGCGCCAGGCATGGCAGGGCCGTCTCCGTACCAGCCTCGCACCCTCCTGCTCCCCAAAATGATGTCCTGTCACGTGCGCTCCCATCAGTCGAGTCATCCTAATGAACTGTTTTTAAAGAAACGATTGCCTGATGCTCCGGAGAGCAGTGCGGGGGACGCCTTTGGCCACCACCCGCCACCCTGGGGACGGGAGCCCAGGAGCTGCCGCCCCCCTTTGCCACCCCACGTCGCAAAAGCTCGTTAGGCAGCGGCCTGTGAACACCCCGGGCTGCCGCTGCCCGCCTCCCTAATTGCCAGGGAGCCAGCGCAATCCCTCCTGATGAACCTCAGCAGCGCGACAGCCTCCGGCAAAGGGTTTTCCTCCCAGCTTCCCCCGCTGCTGGTTCCAGCGGTGCCGCAGGCGCATTCCCAGTCCCGAATCATGCTCACAGGTCTGTGCGGCCCCTCGGGGTCCGGGCACCGGTGAGCAGCTCGACATACCCTGACTCCATCCTCGGCGGCCTCTCTGTCCATCCTTGTCCCGCTCCCCGCGCGCTCCCGTCCCTCGCGGGGGCTGATGCCGGCGCCTCGGAGCAGCGATGGCCACGGCACACATCCCGTCGGGGACAGTGGGACAGGTACAGCTGCTGCGGGACCTGGGATTGGCTTTTAAAGAAAAGGGAAAACTTCCACGTGGTTGATTTTAATGCTCATGTTCTCCGAATGATTGCATGGAGCTGGATGATTCAAAGAGCCCCAGGCTGGCAGTGAGATAAGATATTTCAAAATAAATATAACCAGCTGCTATAAAATGTTACCAAGAGCCATTTTTAGGGGGGAACCAGCCTTGCTGTAGCGCATTTGGTCCAATAAACACCCCAGCAGCAGAGCTGAGGTCAAAGGGGAGCGGAGCCATCGGTTTTCTTACTGGGATAACAGGCAGTCCCGGTGTGGAGACATGCGGGAGCCCCGAGGCTCGTCAGGGTGAGGGATGTCCCAGCAGCGTCGGAGCCGTCGGGCTGGGAAAAC